TGGATATTAATAGCTGAGATGTGTGTATTGACTTGTGATGTCCTCCAGGCAATGAACTAGGAGTTAATCTGCCTCCAGCCTCCACTGGCCTTATGACACTTTGTCTCTAAGGCATTGAACCAAGTCTACAAACATCTGGGTCAAGTTCCCAGCTACTTTAAACTTCCTTTGTGACCCTGGGCCAAGCCACTCACGTACGCTGGCTTCTGGTATCTCAACCAGGGATGGCACTAGTTTTGTGCTTTGTGTCTTTAGTGTTGGATATGTAAATACAGAGGGTAGCAATGGCCTCTGCTCTCTGCTCTGCACAGGTAAGGGTACTGAGGTCTTGGCATGCTTCTGTAATCCATGCAAGTGAGACTAAATCAGCTTTAAAAACTCATCATTTGACTTGAAAGCACTGGGTTGTTCTTTCAGTGGCTTGGCCTTTGCTCTAACCCCCTGCTTCAGACGATTCTGTGAGTAAAGTTACTACAGTCAGGAAGGAATAAATGGAAAAGCAAGAGGACAAATATGGTCTTGTTTAAAGGAAATGCTGGGGTTTATCGTGACCTAAAGCAATGTGCTTTATTCAGCAGTTTTTACAAACAGGAAGCTTTATTTAAAAAGCTCCAGCACTTGCTGAATCATGGAGCAGGAGAAAGCTGAGAGGAGAATTAGCTTAAACGGAGCAGATTTTGTAATTTTCAGAGCTTTTCCTACATCCTTAATGTTCTGTCTCAGTTGCCTCGAGCAGGTACATGATGGACATGGTTAGAATACTGCTGTGGTGGAGCAAAAGGGAGATTAAATCCAGGTAATTATTTGAGGAGTCTGCTTTCATAACAGAGACTGCTAATGTGAAAACACCCCCCCCCCCCCTTGATGTGAAGGGGTGGCAGTGGAATTGGCTCCAGCCCTTCCCTGAGCTTTATTGGAGACTTGTATTTACAGCATTCTTCTGGGATCTGTTGTTCTGTTAATCACAAACAGCCTCAGAATCACACTGTACATAGATAGTACTTGGCTTTGTACTCTGCTTCTCTCAGTTCTGTGTTTCCATTTTACAGATGGGAAAACTGAGGTCTTGAAGTAGGGTTTTCCCCAGGGCTATGTAGCACAGCGGGGAGTAAAGCCCTTGTGATTCCAGAGTCATCATCTATGCTCTGGCTTGCAGGCTCATATCACACAGTAATCTGGTGTTAGGATTTCCTGGCATTTAGTTGTGTCTTGTCTATTTTTGCTGAAGGCAGAGTTCATAGTGCCCTGTTCTGAATTACTCCCCTCTGCCACGTAAAATCAGGGCAGCAGGTCTGTGAGTAGGTATTGTTAACATGAGCTGATTCAGGCTTGGCCACTGCATGATCTCACAGCACCATAAATTAGTGCTCATCTCTTTCTCATTTAATTTCTCATCTGCAAGCCATTGGAGATAATATATTCTAGGTGGTGATGCAGTCCCTGGCCTTGATGTGAGCATCTGTGCCTTAGCAGGAGGTTAGTGTCTTGAAGGGGAAACCCCTCTAAAGGGGATGGAGCCTGCCCAGCTGCTGCCGATGCCTCATTTCCCTGCAGGATTTCTGTGTCTCCATAAAAGCAGCTTGCTTGATTCCTAATGTAGTATTTTTATTGTTCTCTGTGTTGTGAAACGTGCTCACACTGAGACTCTTTATCAGGGCCTGTAGTGATAGCACAGGGGGTGATGGGTTTAAACTTAAACAACGGAGATTCAGGTTGGATCTAAGGCAGAAGCTCTTCCCTGTGAGGGTGCTGAGGCGCTGGCACAGGGTGCCCAGAGAAGCTGTGGCTGCCCCATCCCTGGCAGTGCTCAAGGCCAGGTTGGACACAGGGGCTTGGAGCAAGCTGCTCCAGTGGAAGGGGTCCCTGCCTGTGGCAGGGGTTGGAGCTGGAGGAGCTTTAAGGTCCCTTCCAGCCTAACCCAGTCTGGTTTGTGTCACACACTGTTCCCATAAGGCTCCCAAACTGGAGCTGGATGAACAAGGCTTCATGTACCCATGAGCCTGACATCTCAAAGTCTTGCTGAGTTGTTCTTGTTGACTTAAACCTCTAAACTTCCTTGCCTGGCGTGCAAAGACCTGGCATACTCCTCACTTCCAAAAATGTGGTTTGAATCCCAGAGTTCTCGCCTCCTCCCCAGAGTGATCTGAGGGGGTTTTCCTAATAATATCTTAGATTAGAGCCTGGGCTTTGTTTCCAGTAGTTCTGCCACAGTTCCTACAGAGATGTCATTCAAATCAAATGCACCAGGCACTGCAGACAGTGCTCTGAGGGACCTGTGGGTCTTTCAGAAGGGACATTCCAGTGTTTTTCCAACTCCTAGTTTCTGCAGACTGTAGCAGAGTTATTTTCTGGTGTTTAGATCTAAGTTGGGATCTTCCTTGTCTGTCACTTTAATGCTGTGCATTGCATAAATAAAATTGGGATGGAAGCTTTGGTTTCTGTTAACTCAGGAGGCTGTGGCCTTCCTGGCAGAGCTGGGGAGGAAGAGGAGGGAAGAGACTTCAGTGAAGCCCTCATCTAAATATAAATAGTTCTCTCCTTGGATCCATTCAGTCTGAACTTCTGGGTCATTTGACCTTTCTTTGATAAAAGCTTTCTTTATTTGCAAGACTAAAAGGGCAGAGGGGAGGGAAGGACACAGCAGATTGTTATGTTTTAGTTAATATCTTCAAATCCTGCCTGTTGGTTTGGGCACTTGCTGTGGAACCAGTTCCATCCTGGGCTCCAGTTTCTCTCCTCCAAGTGCCTTGAGTGAACTGTGCTTTTACTCTAAAGCATTAACCTGAAAATTTCTCAGGAAGTTTATGGAAGTGTGTTCTTTATGGAATTGTGTTTTCCCGCAGAGAGCCTCTGATGGGGATGGATACCCTGTGCTCCAGTCCCCAGCCCTGCTGCTGCAACAAATGACTTGGTTTATGCCCATTGCACCACTAACTTGGGTTTTCCTTCATGACTTCAGCTGAAAGAAATACTTGTATTAAATGCTGCTGGTTTTTCATACGTGCACCCTGAAGCTTTTTGAGCTCAGCATCAAAACACAGCTCTGTTTAGGATGTAAAACCACTGAACTCTGGCTTTGGTCTCAGGTTAGCAGCCTGTGCAAAGGGATGTGCAGGTGCAGCATTTAGAACTGCTCCAGACTACACACAAGTCTTTCTGGCACTGGGTTTAACCATTAATCACCACTTTAAATCCAGCAGTAAATTATTTGGGCAACCACACTGCGTGAACCCACTGCCAAGAATAAACCAGAGCCTGAGAATTACTCAGATCCCTTTCATACCTCAGGACTGTTGCTGCTGGATGGGGAAGGGCTCCTCCTGGACTCAGTCTGATTGGGTTTTTTGGTGCGTGTCTTCTGGATGTAGTTGAAGCCATCATCCTGCAAATGATGTTAGTAGCAGTTGAAATGCAATGCATGCATGTATTGGTTTGCTGTGCTTCTGAAGTGAGTGCTGGTGTATGGGAATGCTGCTGGATAAGCAGCCTGATCTGTTGCAAATTGGATTTTGTGGCTCACTTGCCTGTCCTCTTGGATAAAGTTTCCCCTCAGCTGCCTCTCCTCTAGTGGAGCTTGTGTCTGTCTCAGGACTGCAAAGCCTTTTATAATGCTCTGCTGGATCAGGAGTCACTCAGGAGGGGTTGAGACTTCCCATTTCAGAGTGTGCTTCTGAATCCCCCCTGAATCATGCTTTGTTTACTCCTGAATTTCCACTTGGTCTGCATGAGATTCCTGTTGGTTTGGTGCTTTTCCTGCTGCTTCTGCACGCTGTGGTGTAGTGCTTCTTCTGGCTGGGAGTGCTCTAGTTAATGACTGTTAGAGAACCTGGTTACTGCTCGGGCTGCCTTTGTATCCTACAATGAGTCGTAGCAGTTACATGCTGGGAAGGAAATGAAATGATCAGGAAAGGCCTAATTCATAAAGAGCAACAGTTGACTTTATTTTAAACCAGTTAAATGGGGGATTAGAGAATGCTGGTAAGTTCTACCCCTAGTTAAAGAAAACAGCGCAGGCAAACGTACTGTATTAGCATGAGCATGATTGTCCAGGATTATAATAAATCCTGTGTAATTCCTGACAGCATTCACACGGGCCAGCATACACGGAAGGTGGGTTGACAGAGAGGTGAATGGTTTCAGTTTGCTTATAAGAACATCTTGATGTGTGTTCACGTGCCCTTTCTGGGAGAGGGTGGTAGCACTGTGAGGAGTGGCAGCAGAAGCCCAACTCCTTTAACAGCAAGCTCAAGAGCAGTGCCAGCTCCTTACATGTGTTTCTCCACTGATTTAAATAGAACATCTTGCAGGGGTTAGAGGGAAGATTAATGCTCTACAGGGTTAATCCTTAAATCCTTGGTGTTCAACTTCCAGACAAGGGAGGGAAGTGAACAATATCCTTGGACCTCAGAGACCACCTACTCTTTCATATCGACTGCAGCAGCTGTCAGATGGAAGTGATTTTTGGACAGTAAGAAGTCTGCATGGAATCACACTGGAGACCCAGAGCAGGCTCTGTACCCCGGAGTCTTAGGCTTCCACTCCTAGTGACTCCTGCCATGGAGGGAAGAGGGTTTCCCAGACCCATCAGAGTTCTTCAGAAGGGTGTGAATTAGCAGTGGGTTGATGGTTTACTGTCTCTTGTGGTTCAATTTAATAGACACATGTTTCTCTGAAGATGCTTTTTGGCAAGCATATGTATGGCTGAAAGATGGCCTAGTAGCAAGAGAACATCCCTGATTTAAAACCAGGATGGTCTGAAGAAGCACAGAGTAGTGAATTCCTGTACCAGTTGTGTGCTTTGTGCCACTAACCCCTCTGCTTGGTGCGGTGCTCTCTGCGGTCTGTGCTCTCTATTACTGCTCTTAACCACAGCTGTCCAGCCCCTCGTTTGCTTCCAGATAACCAACTTTGTGTGAAAACTCTGCTCAAATTTGTCCTTGCCAGCTGTCCATCCGTTTGGTGTATGCCTAAGTGTTCCCTGTACGTTTTCTGTCTTGCAGCATCTGGAGAGGGCCAAATGTGAACTGCGTTGACAGTACTGGATACACTCCACTGCACCATGCTGCTTTGAATGGTCATAAGTGAGTCATCTTATAATGCTTTTGATTTAGGCGATACTATGTGCTTTACAAGCTATGGTTTCTGTGTAATGCATTCACCTAATGAATGTCATTCATTCTAATGTTGTTCCCACTAAAAATGTGGCAGTGGTGCAGCACTACACCATCTTGAGGACAAGAAGTGAAGAACATCAGTGCAGTGAAGCTGTAGAGGCATTGCCTGCTGCACATACATTTAAGAGATCATACATCTCTTAAAATTGGGCAAAACACTGAAGTTTTCAACCACTCTTTTATTTATAGAAAATTTGGATAAGATATAACAACATACTAAAGGTGGCTTCTCCAGTAACAGTCCTCTGCAGTCTGTCTGGTGTCCAGTGTGTTGCTGTGCCTGCAACACTTAAAGTTTGCTTTCAAGTATATAACATTTTTAAGTAACTCCAGTCTTCAGCGTGGTAAATCTCGTGGTGTTCATTGCTGCTTAAGATATTGGGAAGTTGAATAGCATTAAAACCTTTGTCTTCATTGCTCTGGTGCAGTTGCTTTTCACCAGAGCAGCTTGTGGATGACCTCAGTCCCTGTTCAGCTCCATTAGTATGAGGGTAGCACAGATCTTCCCTGAGCTCATCTCAGCGGCCTTTCATTTTCCTTGGGCAGCATTTAATAGGAATGCTTTAAAAACACATTTCGAGAGCATCTCAGAACTACTCCCGTTCAGATTAACCTTTTGTGCAACACTTGCTGCAGAAGCTGTGGAACAAGGACTGAGTATCTTATGAGCTGAAGTTTCCTTCTCTTGCAGGGATGTTGTGGAAGTTCTGCTGCGGAACGACGCACTAACCAACGTAGCGGACTGCAAAGGCTGTTACCCTCTTCACTTGGCTGCTTGGAAAGGAGATGCAGACATAGTGAAGCTCCTCATCCACCAAGGACCTTCACATACCAAAGTGAATGAGCAGGTCTGTGTGGTTTACTCTAATTGAATTGCCTTCCTTGGATGGAGACTACTTCAGCTGACTCCTGGCCCTTCTCAAAGGAGTAGCAATGGTTATGAAGTCCTACTTGCTAATGGGATAAGAAGAGCACTGCCTAAAGCAATACCTCCAGTTCTGAGTTAGTGGTTGAATGAGTAAGGAATATATGTTTATAAAGAGATAGAGAAGTATGAGAACCACTCAGCACCTAGGAAGTGGTCTCGTGCTTTCGTACTGGGCTTCTGAAACTAACATTTCCTTTCAGTTGCTGGATAGCAGAGAAGGTTTCAGTTCTGTCAAAAGACACGTTGGCTCCCTTCTTTGGGAACTAATCAAAGCAGCTTTGTTTAGTCTTTGTTTGGCCATGCTCTCTTAGCTACTCTCCTGGCTTGTCTCTAGCACTTGCTCCACTGAACTAATTTGTAAGTTGCAAGATAACTGTAACCCTACTTGTCCCCAGATTAGTCCCTAGCTTAATCTTAAGAAATTGTTTCACAATCAGGCAAGACAAACAAACTGGTGGATTCCTTCCCTTTGTCAAGGTGATGGTTTTTGGTCTGGGATGCAGAGAGATTGATTGGTATGAGACAGCTGTTCTGTACAGTGGCTGCTGTGTCCATGTTGGGGGGCTGGCTCCATGTAACTTCCCTGTGGAAGTCAGCAGATATCTTTCAGTAGGGAACTTCTGGAAAGCTACTGCTGGAAGACCCAAATATTGCTCTTGTTGAAGAGTTTTAGATAGGGGGCTGGTTTACTGAGTGAGGCCAACTAAACAGTGTTACTGAGCCACTTATGGATGAGGAAGCTTGGGCAGACATGCAGTAACACATCCAAATCAGGTGGTTAAAGCTACCATAGCCCTTGGTTGTCCTGTCCCTGAGGCAGGAATGTCTAATGTCCCTGTGAATCAACTCCTAAACCCCTCAGGTTTTCATCTAGGAGGAGAGGAGTAAAACAGAGTAAGTTTGTCTGCCTCGGTAGTACAAGGCTAAACATGTTCAGAAGTTAATTCCCAAGTAGGTCAGATACTCAGGGCTCAAATTTAGCAAAATCAGTCAAAGTCCAGATGAGCAGCTGGTAACTGTGGGGTTTGCTGTTTAATTTTGATGTAAGGTGGATACTTTTCAGACACTGAGGAGCAAAAACTCCCTTTGGAGTTGGGTTTAGGAGTCCTAATACTGCTTCCAGCCACACTTTGTGGTAACCAGAGAGCCATGTTAAAGTTTTCTTAAGTTCTGTTCCTTGGTCTAAGGTGGCTAACTTGATGCATTGGGCTGCTCCAGGGCTGAACAGTTGCTTCTGAAGCATCGCAAAATGAGTGATACAGTGGTAATGCTATTCACTACCATTCCTCTATTGGAATAAAAAAAGGGGGTGTGTTCAATGTGTGTGGATATGTTTCCAGTTTGGGGCTGCGGTTAATAATGTCTTCAGGCACAGCTGCAGGCATTCAGTCTGTTCAAATAGATTTGAGATGTGTAGTTAGGTGTTTGCAATCCATCTGATAAGAACTGACTGAGGGCCCTGACTGTAAACTCTTCTGCTCTGAGTAGAACAGGTATAAGGCAAACCTTTGCAAAAGATTAAAAGCTTTAGTAGTGTAATCCCTCCAGGTAATGTTTCATTAATGTCTGATTAGTATGAACCTTTCTAAATGAGAAAAGTCAGCTGAGTAGCCTGTGCTGCTTGTGTTTGGAGGCTTGTCAATGAAATGCAGTGGTTCAAGTTACAGGAATCAGCAGCTGGAATGGCTTCTGCTGGTAATAGCTTTGACTGGAACAAGATGCTGTGTTCTGTCATTTCCACCCCTTGGGAGTCACCCATTGCTTTGTTGCTTTATCTCACCCATTTCATTATCACATTTTTTGTTTTCTTTTTCCTCTTCCTTTTTGTAGAATGCTCTTGAGATCAAAGAACTCAAAAAGTACGGCCCCTTTGACCCATATATCAATGCCAAGGTGTGTACTTTGCTGTCAGCATTTCACTACATCATTACTCCAAGCTGCAGTCGTGTGCTTCCAGGTGCAGTGTCATCCAGTTGCAGTTAATACCTGTTCACTTTGCAGCAGCTTGGGAAAAATATGACAACTTATTTACTGTGGGTTTCTTTCTTCAAAGCAGTTATAGAAACATAATTTAAGGGAAGCTTTTCCTTACTTTTCCTGGGGGCTTCTTCAGTGCTTAGCCTTGTAGGACTCACGGTGATGGTCAGTTTGCTTGATTGGGCTGGATGACTTCCAAAAGGTAATGTTATTTCCATTAAAAATGCTTTAGGTTTTGTTTCGTGTGCTAATGTTGCTGATAAATGCAAAGAGATGGATTTTTTTCCTGCTTAAACATGGATGTGTCTCTCTGTGGGCTGTTTAGAGTGGATTTTCTTGCCTTTCCCCCTACAAAATGCTGTATTTGTTGTTTGGACAGTTAACTCTGGTGGTGGGGAGAAGGGAAGGCAGTAATGTTCATGCCGCCCTTCCCAAGTCCTTCATGTCCTGCTTATTGCATCAGTCTCTCTTTTTTGAATGTTAAGTCTGTTGTGTCGTCTGACCCTTCAGCCCTGGTCTTCTGTTCCTGTTTCCTTGCCTATTTTGCTCCTCTTGCTTTTAGCTGTTCTTGAGCTACACAAAGGCCATGACATCAGCACTTCAATGCACTGAGGCTGAGCAGTTGAGGAAGCAGACAAGAGAGTTCCTGGTGGTGTCTTCTCAGACACCATTTTTCATTGTTATTTATAGTGAAGCTGTGGGCTAATGGTGGCAGAAGAGTCGCTGCTTTATCGTGAGGTGCTTCTGCTGTAAGCCACCACCTCACGGTTGTTTCCAGGTAGTTATTTGGGATCCAGCCATCCACGGCAAATTAAACTCTCAGAGTTTAGTTAGCACTTTCACTCTGCTCTATCTGCAGTGCCTGAAAAACAAGCATCAAAGTTCCTGAGCTTGCTTACCACTGGGAATTGGGTTTGGGTTTGCAGACCTGTGTTTCAGGATACTCCAGTGCATACCTCTTAAGCACAAATATATCTACATACACATCAGTGATTTCTACAAAAATCCAGATGGGAATTTTTCCCACAGTGAATGTCTTCTGTGGAAGGATCACAGTTGAGCAGTTCAGTTGCCTCAGAGGAACCTTCTGAATCATTGTCAGTAACAGAGTAAAATCTTCCACACTCCAGCATTAAAATGTTGAATGAATGAAGTGCGCAGTGCGCTCACTTTCTGGTGGAGTTCTTACTGTGTGTTCTGATTTGGGCTTTATATTTTGGACAAGTGCCTTATTTTAAACTTCCAGTTCACTCTCAGAGGTGGCTGTGGTGCTTTTGAGAAGAAGGCAATGTGGTTTTGAAATCTGCGCCTTGGTTTTAAGGATAGAGATGATTTATACACCATCTGTTAGGTTCATCACAAGTTCTGACCAGCTTTCCACCAGGTTCTCCCCAGGGTTGATGGAGAGCATGTGGAGTCTTATGTCCTGCAAACCTTGATGCTTTCTCGATAGCCTGGCTGCAGGTTGGGAGAACCACAAAAAGTCCAGGTGTAAAGTATGAGTGTCATTCCTTAGCTGGTGATTGCAGCTTCTCCGTTCCAATGCAGAATAGGATATCATGCAGGAGCAACTGAGAGATGTTTCATCTTTCCAAACATTTTGGGATATTTAGGAGAGGGAGGAAGCATTTATATAAAGCTGGACTACAATCTAATACCCTGTTGAGGAAGAGATAAGAAAGCCAGATGCTTCTTGCTTTCCCAAGAGCTAAAGCAATGGCTAAGCTTCTTTTTATGTCCCTTTTAAACATCTTAGTTCAATAGAAGGCCCCTGCAATATGTCTGTTACAGGACTTCTGAAAAGCAAATGATAGAAGCAAAGGAGATAGAGCAGCAGCTTTGCTTCAGTACCTCCTGCTGTCTTGAATTTAGTTCTTTAATTTGTATGAAGGAACCAACCATTTGAGCAGAGCCAGCATAGAAAGGGCTGTCACAGCTCAGCTTTGTGCACTGCACAAACTACCTTTGTCTTTTGTAATCAGAAGCAAATGAATCCTGCAGATTGGGTTTAAGGTGCTGTAAAGGAAGGAGGCCTGTTCATCCTTCCTCTGCTCCTGGCAGTGCTGTGTGGGGTACCCGTGGAGACCACATGCTGCAAAAGGAGGGAAGGAGCTGGTACCACTCTTTTGGCCAGCTTTGTGCCTGAGGTGGTGATTTCCTTTAGGTGTTACCTCCTGGTGAAGTTTGGATTTTGCTTAACGTGTTTTCTCTTTTATGCCAGTGAGACATGGCTGTTCTGTGCTTTAGTTTCAGATGTGTCACTGGGGCAGCAAAGTAGGTTTTGAATAGGGCAAGGCTCTGTTAGATGTGTATATGCTGACATAAGACCTCTGCAGGGATCTTAGAAATAGCTTGGATGGGACTGAAGAGTCCTGTGGCCTCTTTCCCCACCCCTGAGGCCAGATCATATCTACCTAACCCACTGCTGACCAGTGTTTGTGTAGCAGCTTCTCAGAACCCTTGGAGAGGGACAGCTCTATAGTCTCTCTTGGCAGTTCATTCAGCCATTCAAGTCTCTGTAGGTTAGAAAGGTAGAAACCTTTCCCTTGTTTAAACCCAGTCACCCCTGCTCCAGTCAAACCTCTCTTCTGGTGCGTTAGGAACACTGGTGTAGACTCATATACTTTAAGTGGTTATAGATTCTCCATATTAGTGTCTGATGAGGAGTATACGGCCTATGGTATGTAGTATTCAGTTACCAGGGCTTGAAAAACTTGATGGAGCCCATATGAAAGCAGAGGCATTCCTTTTTGTATTCCCATTTTGTGGTCTGTAGGGAGGCATCTTACGAGCCTGGCTTCTCACTCCCAGCTGTGAACTGGGGGGGAGATGTGAGGATTCCTGCACGAATGCAGCCCCTGGGCCCTCTTGAGTGCTCTCTTTTTCTAAGAAGGTTTGAAATTTGAAGCCATTTGCCTTGTGGCTGCTGGAAAGGAATTTTCTTTTCCCATCTCCAATAAATATGTATGTCTGAGAGCTCAGGCGTATTGCTCAGGCTCCACTCTGGTTTGTGCTTGCAGAGGTGATGTGAAGGGAGGCAGACTCCCTTGCCTGATCAGCTCTAGTATTTGTGGCTGCTCAAAACTCTCCCAGACTGGAGGCAGTGAGGACTTAGGCAGTAGTGGGGGTTTCCAGTCACAGCCTGTGGTGGTGGGGGGGGACCTGCTGGAATGATTCAGGGGATTTTACCACCTGGGGATCTCACCCTGAGCCTCAGAGCCCTGGTCTGCTTAGAGAAGATCAGATTAAATTGCAATGAAGATGGGGAAGCCTCCAGCAGTTGTTATTAAAGGATGTTGTGTTCCATTCCTGAGCCACCAGGCAGGTGTTTGGAGTTGCTGTGTGCTTTAAAGCACCCTTGAGGGGTATGGTCTCTGTGCCAGGGAGGGAGGAGAGGGGAAATCCCTGGTAGCCAGGACTATGTGGCATAGGCAGTGCATGTGTGCTCTCTGCAGACACCCACTGCTCCAGAGGGACCAGGTTATCTCCTCCTCCTGCAGGAACTGGCATTGAGCCTCCTTTATGCTATGGGTCAGGCTGAGTTCCTTGGTCTTGTGCTGTGGGCTCACTGATACCCAGGTTCCCTTCCCTGTCAGTTAATGTGTGATTTAGCAACCTTAAATGCCTTGAGAGCAACAGCTTAAACTGATGGATAGGTGTGATCTCTGTAGTTGTTGATTCTCTCCCCTTCTCACTCCATATGTATATTTTATGTGCAGACTTCTTTATTCTACAGTAACTTCTGTCCACATATGTGTGCCTTCCTTCATCATGGCTGCCTCTGCCACTCCAAGTATAGAGTCTGTTGTTTGACTTTGGTCTTCTGTGCTAACAGTGATGCTGTGCTTTCCTTGCCTTCCTAAATATCTCACTCCTGCATGTGGCTGATGCTGCTTCCTGCCTCCTTAGGCTTTGCTTTTACACAAGCTGCAGCTGCACAGAGCCTCTCCAGAGCTCCTCACTTCCCTTCTGCTTCTCATGTGGCTGAAAAATGATGCGCATACCAGATCCAAACAAGTGGGGGTTTGCATGCATGTCTCCTGTAATCCTTAGAATGGCCTACCATGGTAATAAGATTAAAGTACCTGTACAACAGAGTTAAGTTCTGCAGTGTGTGGTTGTGAAGTGGTGCAAAATACTGACTGTTCCTACAAGCTGGTATCCAAGAAAGTGCATGTGAAAGCCAAAAGGAAGGTACTTGTGATCAAATTTGGTCTCTAAAACAGTACCTATAACTCCTTCAAGACAGGTCTGTTCTCTGGTTTTGTTTTTGGTTTTCAATAGGAATTATTCTTCCTATATAGGAACTAAGATGACAAATTCAACTGTGATTCAGCTGAAGTTGAAATGTGTAACAGTTTGTACTAAAGTTTTTTGGGGGTCAAATTGTTAGATACTTGTTTCTAGAGTCCTAAACCAAAATCCCTTTGTGTATAACGACTCTGTAACACACAGCAGTAAAACTAGGAATTTGAGGTGAATTTAAGAAAAGGCTTTCTCAAACTTAGCAACATTCTGATTTTGCACCTGCAAGTGCAGTGTGTTGGGTTTCTTGTCTTTCAGTGCTTGGCATTGCTGATTTATACCCTGCCGAATGCTGCATGCACTGGTTGGATCTGGCTTTCACTGTGGAGGTGTCCTCCTGTTGCTTGGACATCTCTTCCCTCAGCTGAACTGAGACCTTGGCTTCTTAGTGGAATGATCCAGTGGCACTGCTTTAATTCACAAACTGCATGTAACTTAATGCACCCTTTCTTGTGAGCTTTGGAACTGCAAAGGTGGAATGACTGTTATAATCAGGATAAGTAGGATTTGAAACAATTGAAGTTTAAATCTAAAATGATGACAGTTAAGCTACAGCAGATAGAACTCATGCTGCAGTTTGCCTATCATACATTGCAGCCTTCTATTTTTGTGGCACCTCCAAGTGTGGGATGCTGCCAACAAATAACAGACTGTCTTTCCCAAGTGCTAGCAGGATTAATGGGAATCCAGATCCAGCTCGACAATCCCTTCCTTTAACCTTAGCATGGTCCCTTGATTTTGACCTCAATGCTTTGAAAGCAGGCTATTGCACATATAGCACTTATTTCCCATAGAGCTGATTTATGATACCTGAGTAAAGCTTACTGTTCTGGATGGTTCTGAAGCTTTCACTGGGTGGTTGGTTGATGAGTTCATGAGGGGATGTCTGTGCCTGGTAAATGGCTACTGAGATGGTGAAAAGCTCCCTCCAGGCTGTTTCAGACTGGGTTCTCTGCTTCCCAACTGCCTTTTTGGTCTTGTTTTTGCATTTAAACTTCAATGGTTTGAGTGAGGCATGAGGCAGCTCTGTAATGCCCTGTTCTGATGCACTGGCATTTGTGACCCCCTCAGAACAACGACAATGAGACGGCACTGCACTGTGCTGCACAGTATGGCCACACAGAGGTGGTGAAGGTCCTTCTGGAGGAGCTGACTGACCCCACCATGCGCAATAACAAGTTTGAGACTCCTCTGGACCTGGCTGCACTCTACGGGAGGCTGGAAGTTGTGAAGATGCTCTTGAACGCTCACCCCAATCTCTTAAGCTGCAACACTAAGAAACACACTCCTCTGCACTTGGCAGCTAGGAATGGTCACAAAACTGTAGTCCATGTCCTCCTGGATGCTGGCATGGATAGCAACTATCAGGTATCTGGTGTGGCTGTGTGTGGAGGGCTGCTCTGATAGCTGGGGGATGGAGAATCCCTGTGGTTACCATACAGAGAGCTCCACCTAACCCTCTTCCCAGAGGGATCCTTTATGAAAGATAAGCAGTAGCTTTGTTTGTTTGCCTCTGGGCTGTTTGTTCAGCTCTTAGTTGCTCTGAGAAGCTGCTCAGAGGGGTTCTGGTGCTGTGCATGCTTCTTGCCTGCTTGGTAGTTGGATAAAGAGCCCCAGACACGTGGCAAGGGAGAAAAAAAGCTGAAGCAGTTCTGTCCCACAATACCATGAGCTCTTGATAGTGATGGAGGCAAACTGTGTCTCATCCTATCAAGCCATTTGTGAATATGCTGGTTTTGCAGTTCTAGCTTGTATGGGGTGGTTTTGTCTTTCTTTTCCAGGACATGACCTTTCCCTAAGCTGTACAAAGTCTTTTCTTGGTCTCTAACCTGGGCCTGCATGTCTCTGAAGAGACCATCCCCATTTTCCATTCCAAATTCTCTCAGCATTATAATAAGGTTGATAGCCTGTCCTCGGGTGTAGATGTTGTTGCCCGTGCTTTGTATATGATGGCATATATTTATTGCTTCTGTAACCTTCTAAAACATGCCTCCATCCCCATTCTGGCTTCATGCTATTTTTCCATTTAATTTGCAGACTGAAAAAGGCAGTGCTTTGCACGAAGCTGCTTTGTTTGGCAAGACAGATGTGGTACAAATATTGCTGGCTGCAGGTGAGAGACTCATCCCCTTTTGAAGCAATAACGTGGTGATGCCTTCACCCAGAACTGGAGGAAACCCCATTATAGTGGCAGCATGTTTCTCCAACCAGCTACCAGAGTTCCTTGGAGAGGGATGTAGAAGTTCTCTCTCAGTGTTTGGCTTCAGGTCTGCCTCTCTAGAGCGTTTTTTAGCTCCCCCAGTGATGATCACAAATGTAAGGTCTGACTTAACATGAAGACACGATTTTGCACATAGTTAGAGGATATTCTTGCTTTTGCCTTCTCTACACCTCTTGCCATAGGTATTGATGTGAACATAAAGGATAACAGAGGACTGACAGCTCTGGATATTGTGAGGGAGCTTCCCTCTCAGAAAAGCCAACACATAGCAGCTCTTATTGAAGGTGAGTGATGTAGCTCTGTGCGTGGGGGGGAAGTTTGGGGTGCTGACTGTGTGTGCTAGCGCACATACAGGATTTTGTTCTGTAGTCCTGGAAGATGCTGGAAGCAAAGCAGCTTCAGATCAGGTCCCTCAATGAGAATCTTACAGGTGTAGGAACGAATGATGCTTCAATGTTTAGGTGAATTGTCTCCAGACCAAACACTTGCAGGGGGATGTTTAGGTGGGCTTTAGGGGGATTGGCTCCTTTGCTGAAGCAGTGTGACATAACTTTTACAGTTCGAATGGCTTAATTGAGGTTTAACTCACTTTAAACAAAGTTATTGAAAAGTAAAGAGAACCTAAATCTGCTTGCAGAAGGTGAAGTAAATAGCTTTAGAAATGGTTTTAGATTAGCTGTCCCTTCATGTGGTTATGTAGCCAAATAGGTGTCCACAGATCTTAAATTCTACTCCTCACTTCATTCTGAAGCTTGGGCATGGATTTTTCACAGATGAGATTTACAGAAAAGGCCTCAATTACTTGTGGCTTATTAAGGAGCTTGGCCCATTGTGTCTGTCCAAGTTAGGGAACGAAATGTGGCTCTTTAGCTAAATTCATACCTTGTAATTACGCTGTCTCAATTTCCTCGCAGCTGTGGGGAGAGAGATCAGAAGTGTATGCAACTGGTGTGCATTATTCACGCTTTGCATTTGAGAGCTTTACAGGTTCAAAGCACTTTGCAGGCTTTTAATTAAGCTTTGCCTGTGAGGCTGGTGGGTATTATCTCTATCCTGAAATAGCAGACAAAAGATGGGCTTTATAACTGAAGTTCTTGCAGGTAAATGCTGTTAGTTTGCTCCTGTGAGCTGGCTGTGTGAGGTGTTGCTGGCTGACTGTGCATGTAGGTTTAATGTTTCTGCCTTTACTTGTGATTTGGATCATGGGTAGAGATGGTTTCTGTCTTACGACTCCAGAAAACCAGACTACATCTCTGTTCAGTGATGTAGCTTGCATCTACAACATGAAGTAATCTGCTCCTGACGTTGTGTCCATGCAGGATCTTTGCAGCTTTCTAATTAAAGACTCCTGTAAAAGTTCAAAGACCCATCCTTAATCTTGTGTGTGTGATTAAAGAGGTCTCCTGCTTCTATTTTGGGATCTGAGGTGCAAGTTTTAATAATGGGTTATTTTTTGAGAGTTCATAAGCTGACAATTGGCCTTCCACCCACAAGGGAGGAAGTAGCGTGTGCTGAAGTGGATGTAAAACTAGACTGACACAAACTGACCCTGTCATCCCACCTCACTGCAGATTACTCCATTGGGAAGAAAAGTGCCAAAGCTGCAGAGAAGACTGTTCAAGCACCACTTGTTCCCCCCACTGATCCTGTGGGCCGGGTATCTCAGGGTAGGCTTCATACCACAACAGCCACTAGCACCCTTCTTCTTCAAGTACTGCCTTTCAAGGGGCAGAAACCCTGAGTGATGTCTTTGTGTCTCTCCTCCTCTCCCAGGTGACGTGGAGAAAGCAGTGACAGAGCTGATCATAGACTTTGATGTGAACCCAGAGGAGGAAAGCCCATATGAAGCTTTGTACAATGCAACGTCCTGCCACTCCCTGGACAGCCTTGCCAGTGGGAGATCCTCAGATCGAGAGTCTCTGAATAAGGAACCTGAATCAACTGGTCTCAAAGCAGCAGGAGTCAGGCCTGTATGTAGCTATGTGTGCTCCTCCGTGCTTGCCTTAGGATAGGCAACTTGCCTTCAATTTCATGATTTTGCAAAGGCTCTCAATCCCCCAGCTTGAGGAAGTCTTTAAACCCAACCCAGACATTGATTGCAGCAGGCAGGTACCTCTCCTTTTCACTGGCCTCTTCACATAACCCCTCTTGTATTGCCTACAAATAACCACTTCTTTGTGCTGATTTTCACCTCATGTTGCATCCATCTGTTTTCTGGCTGTTGAATTTGGGTGCCGGTGGATTTGGGTCTGTTGGGACATTACACTTAGCTGAAGGACTAATTTGTGTAGAAGAATGCTTTGGAAACTTGGCGTTCAGCATTTTTCTCATCTCTCTTGCTCTCTGCTTTGCCCAAGAGAAGGCTTTCAAGAAATTAAGAATGTCCCATTGGAATCTAGGTGGCAGTGGAACCTTTTATTTTGGGGTGTGTGTATTACTTGCAGAGATCTGTAGAGGGTACTCAAGGCTTTACAAAGCAATGCAAAGTTCCTGGAACTGTCTGCAATGAAGTCTTCCTTCCTTCTGTTAGTTGCATTTGTTGCCCCCTTACCAACCAATGCCTATGGGGCAGATGCTGGCCTTACAGAGTGCTGTGTCAGCTTCAGGGGTGCTTTTCTGCTTAGTTGTACAGAGCCTGCTCTGTGGATGCAGTTCTGGACAAAAGGCAAAGAACAATTAAACTGCTGCTGATACAAAAAGCATGATTCCTCTCTCTCTGCAGAGGGGCATCTTTTTTTCCTGTACTATTAGCAAATATAGTAGAAATGAAACAAAAGCTCCAGAAGCCTGACATTTCAGACAGATGTGCATACACTATCCTGTTACTAACTGAATCTTGGTGGCTTACATCCATCTGTGCACTGTCCTGTGTTGATGGTGTCTGGTGTGAAATAAGCTCAGCTCTGTCCCAAGTAAGATGAGAGGCTGAACTGCAATGAAAAGGGAGAAAGAGGGATGTGCTCCAGGAGCTTGCTGGAGTTTATCCCTAAGCTTGCTTGGTTTTGGAGTGAGCAGTCCACCTCTCCGTCTTTCCCTTTGCCATTAGATGGAGCTGTTGCAGGGCAGATGACCTGGAGTTGTGTTCAGCCCTGTGTGGAGGCGAAGCCGCACAGCTCTCGCTGCCCACAGGCAATGCTGGGATGTTTGAGGAATGCAGTGCTGCATTGTCTCTTGATCTCTAGGGTTTTGCACTATAAAAGGTTCCTCTGGAGTCACTTACTGTTTTATTAAGACACAAGTGATGTCTTCCCTTTCTGTCCTTTTGCATGATTTCATTACTGACCTCAGCTGTGTGTTGCCCTGCCACTGAGATTACCAGTCTGGGTCTGAATGAACTGGCTGAGGTAATGAAGCACTAAGCCTGTGTAAACAGCACCTTCCACCCCAGCAGTTTCATTCTCCTGACAGCACAGTTGGTGCTCACGTGGGCCAGAGCTGGCCTTGTGCAGTGTCACCACTGCAGAGCACAAGTGGGTGCTCTGTTATCAGTAGCAGTCTCAGTCTCCAGGCTCCGTGCTGGTAGGACTGAACTTCTCCACCCACATGAATTTGAGGAGGTCCTTACCATGCTGCATCCACAGCAGCATGGACACAGTGGTGGGAGCAGAAGGGGATGTGCTCTAACACAGCACAGTTGACTGTGATCTTCTGAACCACAGAGAGAACGCCCACCGCCACCTGCCAAGCCACCACCTGATGAAGAGGAGGAGCAGCATGTGGAGAAGATAGGCCATGGTGCTTCCTGTGAGGTATGTGAGGCTTATGTGGGGTGTTTTACAGGAGTGTGGTGTAAAGATCAGTTTAATTAATTTGGGAGGAGCCAACTATGACACTAACCTTGCAAGCTGGGTTGTGAGTGGGAAGTTTTCCTTCATTCCAGCATTGCTGCTGTTACTTGCCATGGGAACTTCCTTTGTGCAGTTCTTCCAGGGCACCTCTGTGTTGCCCTTTAGCCTTACTTTCCTATTCTTGGCTGGGAATTCCCTTAGGAAGAGTTTTTTCCTGAATCACATTGTGATGTGGACTGTTGCCCATTTGTAATGATCCCACCAAATGCATCTTCACTTGAGACTGAAACCCAGAGGGCCATTAGTTCCTGCTTCCACTGAGTTTCCAGATGTGGAGGAGCGATGTGGGCTTCTGGATCCCACTGACATGAACGGGATCAGGGGTTTGAATTCAGCTGAGAATCTGGCCCAGCATATGTTAAAGCTGTCTCTGCAGAGGTCAATGCATGTGAGCTGCTTTTTGATGAAGCTAAAGCTTTCCTGTTCCGCATCTTTGCTACTGGGCTTCCGATTGCTCATTTTTCTCCGTCTTACACCACTTGGATGTGAGGGCTCTGCAGGAGACCCATATATGGGGGGTGTGAAACCACAAATGTGTCTTGGTGACTTCTGACACCCAGGAAAATCTTCAAAGCAAACCCAGATCTTGAGGATTTCCTTGCTTTTCCGAGTGCGCTGGGTTGTATGTAAAACAAGTGGAGTGTGTTGTAACAGCCTCCCATTCACCAGATGCTTTGCTTTGAATGTGTTGATCTGCTGAAGTTCCTACAAGGCAGGAATGTGATCTGTTTTCTGAAGTATGTCACATCTACATGAGACATGAGTAAACATTATTTGCTTTAACAGAACTGGCTTTTTCTAGAGAGTAAAGCTCGAAACAGTGCATAATTTCACCTGAAATGTGAAACTGGGGGCTGATCTCTCCACTGCTGGTGAAATGGCTTTGCAGGGTGATAACCAGTCCATGGCTGGCTGGCAGCAGAAGAGAGCTGGGGAGCAGGTCACAGCATAATTGGAAGCAGAATGTGTTCATGATGACAAACACGAGGGAGGGAAGCGTGCACTGACTGCCCCTGCTGAGTTATCTTGCCATATTTAATTATCAAGCACCTGCTGGGTTGTCCTGGCTTTAATGGCTTTGGAAATATGATCCATTAAAGGAAGTCTTGCTGGCAAATAGATTTGTACAGAGTGACTTACTGGGGAGATCTGGATTTGTAACCAAGTTTGCTGATAGAACTTATGGGCAGTGTGTGTGTCGCTGCCTTCTCAGTGTACTGATAAGGCTGGTTTGGCTCTGATTCGTCACTACTTCTGGGGTGCTTTGCTTTTCTGACTCCTGCCCCTTATTTATCATCTCAGTACATGTTCTCCCTGGGTTGGGCAGGCGTGAACAGGAATAAGCTTAGGGAGTGCTATAAATGTGCAGCATCCTGGTCTGATCCTCTAGACCTGCCCTCACATTAGAGCCAGGACAGTCAGTCATTGAGTATTCTGGGGTTGGGCCAAGCGCTAGTTTGGAAAGTAGTCTTTTTATTCAGTTGCCAAGAGGGGGCTATCAGTCAAAACAGATGTGCATAAACAAGAGAATTTTCACTTTCATCATGGAAAAACATGAGTACAAACAGGCAGAGGAGCTGATCGCTTGAGGTGCCCGAGTGCCGCCTTCCACTGTCTGCAGAAACCTTCTGGGGTTGGAGCTGAGTAAGAGTCTGGGTTGGCAAATGAGGCTGCAGTTTCACTTGTTTACTCCTCATCTCCAAAAGGGAAGTGCAGATGAAAGACAAGGCACCATGACTGTTCCAGCAGCTTGGTCTGCAGCTCTGCTGAGGGAGGAGAGGGAAAAGAGATGAGTTACCTTTTCAGAGTCTTCCAGAGTTCATTGCTGTGGATTAAATACGCTTTGAAGAGCATGCTCATTCTTAACAACATCTTATTTTTGGGCTTTGCCAATAGTGAATATTTCTACGTGCTCATCAACATGTATAAATAAATGAAAGATGAACTGGAAGGAAAGTTGGTTTGATTTTGTTACTCCTGGTTGCAGAGCCTGCAGAGCACAGTTCTCCAGCAAACAATGGTCTTCATTTTGGGTGAATTTAAACCTGAAACTCTATTTAAAAATTCTATCTAGAGCTTGGAAGGAGGAGAGATGGAGAAAAGGAAGTGTAACCAGGCCTATAAATACATACACAAACATTTACAAAGCAAAAGCTGGGAATCGTGTACTGCTGAGGAGTTATTGCCTTTAAATGTGTTCAGTGGATTTGAAAGAGGACAGCACAATGATCATCATCTGCAGAGTCTGAGCAGTATCCTAGTGCCTGCTCGAGGTCCAGGCTGCAACTGCTCTGACAGGCTGCTGCTGGGCAGTATTTTTCCAAGCTCTCTGGCAAGAGCTTGTCACCCACTGTTAAAGTCTGATAGTTTTATGCCACCATCTGGTCAGAGCTTTTGTTCTTTAATGTGCTCATGATGAGCACCTTCACCTCAAAAGGAGCAGCTCTCCCTGACAGCTCCCGCTCCAAGCAGGTAAAACAAAGCCTTTCTTTGCCGGACATGGCCCATTTCCTCCCATTGAGAAAGTTGATTTAAAAGCCAGCTGGGCTTTGCAGGAACAGCGCACGGATGTTGGAATCCTGTCTGTGCTGCTGGCTCCTGGTGCCTCTCCAAGACTGCCTAAGCTTCCAGAAGTCCTGGCTAGATTGCTGTCAGGTAGGTACCTATTTGCCCTTGAAGCAACTTGGATGCTTTCACTTAGGGAGGAAATTGGAGGTGGTGCTTAGTCTGCTGTCTAGACAATGGCAGTTCCAGAGCAGTACAAGAGCCCTCTTTTTGGGGATGTCTTGTTCAGACCTGTTCTTCCCTGTCTTGCAGCAGGTCAGGATCGCTTGTTTTCTGGTTGTGTTTGGCCCCACCACCCTTGGCTGTAGGCACACATGGCTCCTGGGACAGGGTTGCATCACCTCGACAGGGTCTGGCCAGGAGATGGTGCTGGAAGGCAGCTGACCGTGCAGGCAGGGTGCCCTGCAGCGCAGTTTAGCCCAGTTAGCACTGGGATGGCACATATGGCTCTATAAGGATGTCAAACCATTGGCATTGAGGTAGACCAAAGTGTGAGTCTGCGGCAAGGCTCATTTGGCTCTCCCTTCAAGACCATGCACATGGATGATGGCTTTCCAGAGCAGCTTGCTGGAGGGTCTCCCAAGATTACAAACAGCTGCTAATCAGAGACGTTTTGGGATTAAAATGAGCACAATCACTGCTGCACATCCTGAGGTTACACTGGGTTTATACAGTGTTGCCTGAGGCTCTTTAGTCCTAGATCCACTGTGTATCCTGAGGTTAGGAATGCTAGAGCTGAGACTTCTGAGAAGGAGGAAGGGATTTGGGCTTTCTGTTTTCTTTAGCCATGTCCCAGTAGAGCAGCAACTAAATAGTGAATGACGATGCAAATTCCAATAGCAACAGTAAATCTGATGAACAGGAATAATGGCCTCAGCTCTTTTTCCCCCCTCCAGGCTGTCTGCAGACCTGGCACAGTGAATCTGTCAGTGATAGAAAGCTGTCAGCACTCTTAAATACTATAAAATAAAGGGGGTTTGGGTGGCTTTTTGAGGGGGTAAAAAACCCCAGGGAGTGTTACATTTTGGATCCCACTGCCCAGCGAAGGTGTTGCATCTGCCAATTCCTTGCTTAAACCATGGCATAAAGAGGCCTTGTGCTTTATTGGTGGGATAAATAGCACTGCTTTGTGGAGCTCTGCATTATACTGTTTTTCATTAGGCCTCCGGTGCACGAGGAAAGAGCAGGGGAAGTGGAGCTGAAGAAGAGGAGCACCCTTATGAGCTGCTGCTTACAGCAGAAACTAAGAAGCCCGTTGCAGTGGATAGGAAAACGAAAGGTAAGTGCCCATCCAAAGAGCAGAGCTGTTTGCTTAGATGCATTTAAAGGAAAATATAGAGGGCAGAGAGTAAGTGGAACAGTTAAACTCTTTGCTGGGTGGGGCGGCTGGGTCAGCATTGCAATTGTTTTGTTTCCTGGTAATCTTCACTTTTAGAAAGGAGAGATCTAAATGTTCCTGTACAGAATGTACACAGAGGAAGGGCAGCTCTGTTCTGACAACTAAGAGATTGCAAAGAGCTCTTCTGTCAACTTGGAAAATAAGCAAATCCTGGGCAGAGTCAAGTGAATGCAGAGGGGTGGAAGAGATGAGCTGATACAAGCATTCGTATGAGCTGTATTCTCCATCCAGCTGAACTTGAAGCCCTTCTGGCTTTTCATGTTTATACCAGCAGATGATTTGCCCTGCTATCCTGGTCTTAAAATCAACATCCCCCCATGTATTAGAGCTAATTCGAGATGTAAACTAACAAAGGAGGAAAACAAACACGTGTTGAGCAAGCCCCTTTCTAGAACTCACTGAAAATCCACCGCATAGCCAGGCTAAGTATCAAACTAGTCTCCCTTCTCCCAGAGGGACTTCCGTGCTTTGCAAAGGATCTGGGAACACCTTGTCTCTTGTGTTTGGCTGGTGCTGGGCTTTTTGGCTTTCCTTCAACAACAACAAAAGATTAAAGGAAAAACCATCTCTTGCTTTATTCAGAAATCCTGAGCAGGAATTTTGAAGGATTTAATTTGGACTGTAAACCTGGAAACCATCTCACTGAGGATGAACAGAGGATAATGAGGACTTGATGTGATGCCTCATTGACTGCTCTGTAAGACCTGCAGCTTTTTTTCCTCCCTTCCTGCAGCATGGTAGCTTCCATTCCCTGAGTCCTGCTGTACTCCAGGCTTGGATAGGGTGGCACAAGAGGTCATTGTTTTCCCACCAGCATTTGCCAAAGCTACTTGCTGCCGGAGGCAAAGTTAGGATGCTTTTCAGGTTGGTGTTTTGTGGTCTCAGCCAGGAATAGTCCTTGGGTGACAGCCATTGAGCCAGAAGCTTTCAGGCTATCTTTTCAGTGTGCAGCTATTGCTGGTCATTCAAGTGTGATCTATTCCTGACTGCTTTGCTCCTTTCTCTGGCTAATGTGTCCAGGCTTCATGAATATGAGTGCAGGTGTGTCATAATTGTGTGTCAGATTAAAATAAAACCTCAGAGTAATGCATCTGCTTATACTTGATGCAAATCTCTTTCCTGAACACATGAAGACATTAGTACTGCAGGCTCATACTGCTCTCATTTCGTTGAGAGCTTACAGGAAGCATCTTTAGCCTGTTAAAGATTCAGAGCAAAGTCATATAATGAACAGCTAGGGTTTGGTCTATGGATAGTGTTACTGTGGTTGTAACAGACCTAGAGCCCTTCCCACTGTTGTAGTGGGAGAAATCCAAGGATGCAGTTGAGTTTTCTCATCTTCCAGGACTTGTCTGCTCTCTTAAATGCAATTAGCACCAACTGATGTGGTGAAGCTGTGGGTCTGGTGAAGGTGAAGAGCTGCTGCTTGGGAGAAGGGCCCCAGCCATCAGATTTCTCATCTCTTGCATTTCAGCTTGTCTGGGTCATCTTCCATTGCTTTTCATGGACCTGGAGAAGGAGACGTGATTGGTTGTCCCCCTTCTCCAGAGGGTACCAGCTGTTTTCCGTGACATCCCAGAGTGATCCCTGTGGCACAAGCATATGTGTGACCGTGTCCCCAGCCGGCAGCTCTCTCTGTACTGCAGGAGTTGCTGAGCTCCATGTCATCTTCCACCTCTGCTTGTGGACTTCAGGCTTCTCAACCCTAATATGAAAAGAGCCACTGACTACTTTTCTGGTGTTGTTCATCCCTTTTTCCGTCCCAGCCTTACAGGTTGCTTCTTTCTGCACAGGCGTTTCCTAACTGCGCTGGGAGGGTGGATCAGCTTTGAAATCTGCTTTACTATGCTGGGAACAAAAGGGAATGTTTCCTGCTTTTGCAGTACTTGGGGTCAGATGCCAGGAGGACATGTGGAAGCAGATGTAGCAAGTATGAAATGTGAGGTATATACTGGTAGGACTGGGGGAGAAGATACATTTAGGGAGTAGCAGAATCATTTTGGCAAGAAGTTAAACAAGGGCTGAAGGAGGTACTAAGGCCTTACTTGGGGTGTTAGAGAATTTTCCCACCTCTGGATCAGAAGGGTCCTGGAACATCAAAGGCAGCAGCTCAATCCCAAGACAGCGAGCAGGCTTAACATGGCCTTAAATTGTTTCTTGGCTCTCGATCTGAGAGACTGGGCTTCTAGATGTTACTTGATGCATTCTGGAGGAGCCTTTGGTCAGAAGAGGAGGGCTCTGATTCTTGTGGGGGATTGAGAAGGGATTTTGAGGGCAGCTGAAAGGCTGAATTTCAGGCATGCTGGGTTTAATGGTGCCTTTCATATGGGATAGCTGTCTTTGTTTCTCTGGCTGTGAGTTGTCGTGTATGCAGTGAGGAGATGAATGTGGTATTATCCGCCTGGCTTTGGTTGCCTTTTGTGTCCCTTGCAGCAGTTTGCTGTCACATGCTGGAGCACTGGGAAAAGTTGGCCTCATGTTTTAGGCAGGGTATCAAAAGTGGTTGAAGCCAAATGCTTTCCCCCCCCTTTGGTAAGGAAAATACGTGCAATCTCATGCATGAAGTCAGGGTGTTCAGGACTTGTAACTAGGCCAAGGGTGGTGAACTGTGTGTGGACTGACCAGGAGGACACTGTTCAGCTCCTGTGTTCAGAGACCTGATGGAGGATGGCTGCAGAAAACACTGCTGAGGTTTGATGTGTGTCATGCTCCTCAGGAGAGTCACCCACAAGGGCTGTCAGCAGTAACCAGCTTCAGGTAGGACTCAGTTGGTTCCTTCTGATAGTTTTAAAACCTGGTATTTGTTGAGGTTCTGCTGTGCTGCTTCCATAGGAAGCCCAGCAGGAAGAGCCTACTTTGCCCTTCCTCTTGCTAGGGTTTTTCTCTGTGGTTATACTGGTTCAACCAGATGTATGACTGAGCTCCAAACCAGGGTCTGAAATGAGGCAGTGATAAAAACCAAAGCATGCTGCAAAGAGATTTAAAGGAAATATCTCTCCACAGAGCCAGATTATGACCACAGGAACAGCAGGATGCATATTACTGTAGGGAATCCTTGGGGACACGTGGGTATCACAAAGAAAGGTTGGAAGGGATAGAAACCCCTTGGTTTACCATGAGGTGAATGATAGTGTAGAACCAGAGCCTGCATGCCTTCCCTTGGTTTCATCATGGCTGGAGGCTGGATCCCTTTCCATGTCTCAGGTCCAAGCCCTTATTTCTGTTGTCATGATGTATTTAGAAGCTTCTCTCCAGAATCATATTAAGCAGCTAGGGCAGTGTTTTATTGCCCTTCCTCAAAAGGGGAATAGAGGAGGGAGTACAGAAGAGCACAAGTTCAGGTAGCTTTTGGAGAATAAACTACCCAGCATGACTGAGCTTGGCGAGACGAAGCCAGGAGCACACTGTACAGGTCTGGGTGTCACATGCAGTACCTCACTGTAAATGAGCCGTGGGTTCAGTTTTACTGCAGCTGAAGGTTATTTTTGCACTTTCCTCCTTGCTGGCTTTCTGTGCCACAAGAGATAGATCTGCATGCTCCTCACTTAACAAATTCTGACATGAATTTGTCAAGGCACAGGGAGCTTTTCGTATATCAAAGTTAGAAGCTAGGGTATGCCCTTGCTAGGTCTAAGCCTGGGGAGCTTAAGCAAAAAGCAGCTGCAATAACAGCTTCATTCTCCTAATCCAGGGACACGGAACAAATCCTGCTCATGATATACAGGGACAGAAATTCAATCGAGGCAGGGCAACTGCAGCCCAGTGTTAGGAGTTTAGGGAAGTGCTTCGTGTCTGGGATCATCAAGCTGCTGGCAGGGAAGCTCTTAACCGAATCCTGCCTGGGAAGCTGATGGGCTGTACCCAGAAAGGGGCTCCTGTTCCCATTAGGTGTTGGAAGCAGCCTCTCCTGTTGGTGAAACCTGCAGCAGGCATTGGCTGAAGGAGTCAGGACCAGTCAGATGTCTGTGTTTTGGGGTGAGATCAGCTAAGGGAGCTGGACAGAAGTCCCTGTGTTAAAGACATCTCCCTTTCTCAGTTTAAAAGTGTAACTGAAGGAGGGTGCTTTCACACCCCTCAGGGTGCAGCAGATGGCTGGGACTGGGGGCTCTCTGCTTTTCTAGCACCTGAATATTATTTTTCCCTTCTCCAAATTCACTACACGCTTGAAAAATGACTGCTGTTTTCATCTTTGTGCCACGAGGGAAGTGATCAGCGCATCAGCTGCATCATGTCAGTAACCTATCCTGAAAAGCTCTATCTTCCTGACATGGCCAGTGGTTGTTCTGGCTGGTCCTGAGGCCCCTTTAGTTGAAACCCCAAAGGCTAAGGCCTGCCTAACCCTCAGGGTTCCTGCCATGTGCACCTCGATGAGAAGAAACAAGATGACTGTGCCTACATGAGTTCTGTCTGCAGCTTTCAGGGCAGGCTCTGAACATCTCCTTCACGATGTTCCTCACATCTTCTGAGCAAATGCTGTTGCTCTTGCTTCATCCCTTCCTTCCTTGGCAGCTTCCTTGTGTTCCAAGTCCTTCATGGGCTCGAGGATGAATGGTGGCTGTGATTTCTGTTCAACAGGAGTCCTTTTGTGAGGCTCTGGAGCTGGATTTGGAGCATTTTGTTCTGGCTGGACTCAAGTGTTCCAGCACGTGGCACAAACTTTCACCAGCCGCCTGCCTGCCTTCAGCAGAAATGTCAGTAAAGGTTAAGCTGGGGCATGGAAGAAATGATTCCCAGGGAGGGAAAGAGTCTTGAGAAGAAAGGCTGTTGGTTTTGCAGGAGATTTTCCCTCTTCATTAGGTTACTGTTAGGTTATCCTTCAATGCTGTGTTCCTCTTCCCAGGTCGGTAGCTTTATGTTATTCATACCAGTCTGTCCTGTGAATGCAGCATGTCTCATCTCCCCTTAGGTTTGTCTCCAGCATTACAGCTTCATAACTTTATGCAAAGTAACTGAACACAGTCTGGTCTTTTGATCTCCTGACGGGGTGCTGCTGTTGGCACTCCCCAGTGTTGGGAATGGTGCTGGTGACGCCACCTGCCTGCAGGGAATGTGCCTCCCCCTTGGCAACTTCAGCCGCACAACTTGTGGTTTATGTGCCCGTGCAGGATCATCAACAACTACTTCATTGTCCTGGAATCTTTAACTCATAGGATCCAGGCTGCAATGAGGCCTCGCATCACTTGATCCCAGTGGGAAGCGTGGTCTGCGGCACGCTGCCCAGGCAGCCAACCTCCGCTCGGGCTTCTGCTGCTCCTGACTCAGCTGCCAACTGAGCAAAGTGCTTTGAGCATCTTGTGGAGTAAACACATGCCTGTGAGAGGGCCCAGCTCTGCTCAGCACACGGGACACAGCACAGCCCATCTGAGGTGGCTTGCAAAGACCAATGACTAATTTTTCCTGCCTCATTCCCAGTATTAGGACACAAAACCAGATGGGTGTTAGTGTGTGAAAATGACCTGGTCAAGCTTAGTGCTGGGAGGGGTGCTTCTGGGGAAGGAGTTGATCTCTCTCTTGTTGCTAATAGGCTCCTTTTAGTTAAATATAAGTAAAATTCATTAGTGTATTTTGCCTCACTGAAATGAAGATTCCTTTGCCTTGGCTTCCGAGAGCTGCTGTCTTGCAAAGCAAGCAATTTCCTCTTCACATCTAAACATCCTCCCTGTGTTTGAGCCATGTTACCAGGGTCTGAACATCCTCCCTGCATTTCAGAGCCATGCTATGGGGCTGCTTTTCTTTATTGTTCTTTTTTTAGTCTTCAGAATGAAGGGTGTTGCTTCAGCTCTAAATGAAAGTGGTTAAAACTCACAAATACTTACGGGTGGATGCAGGAGTCCTTGGTGAGCTGAAGTTATGCTCTTAGCTTTACAGTCTTGCTTTTACAGTTCACATGCACGTTCAGCTGTGACCAGGGTGAGTGCATGCGTGTCCGTGTGCACACTTGGCACTTGGGATCAGTCAATTATTCATGATTGATGCAGGACCGTGGTACCTGATATTAAAGAAGTTGGTGTAACAGTGTTGTGTTTCTGGGACAGCCGGTGCTTGCTGCCTTAGCACATGAAACCGCTCTGTGCTCAGTGCTTCCCTTGCAAGAGAGAGGCTTCTTGAACAAGTCTTTTTATTGCCTCAAGTGTTTATTTCTCTCCCCTGAGTAGGGAGGAGAGGTTAAACTCAGAAACCACTAGGGAGGAAGGCAGTGGTTGTTTTTGGGGGATGGATTTTGGAACTGGCAGGTTGATTACAGTCCAGAAGCTTCCCCACCCTGCAGCTCGTGCCAAGAGCAGGGAGCGCTGCTCTAAATAACACTTTGGCCTTTATGGAAATCTATCAGATGTTCCAGGAGCCTCCGACTCCGCTTCTCGTACCTCACTTGCTCTCTCTGCAGGATATAGTTAGCACTTCTCTTAGCCTTATATAGCAAGGCCTGATAGTTAGTGTTAAGAGGAATAAAACAACAAGGAGAGCTGCCAGATTGCATAAATCAGGCCAGTGTTTGGAATTTCATAAATGCCATGACTTTGGGTACAAGTTGAGCACGCGGAACAATACGGAACTGTTCTCTCTTTATCTCTGCCTCCCTTGCTGAGGGAAGGCAGCGGGGAGAGATGGAATTTTGCTGCCTCTTCTATGTTTTTAATTTCCTCCCCCCTGCCCTGTTTTCGTCTCCTTGAAGACCACAGGAGGAGCAGTGGCAGCCGCAGCCAGGACTCTGCCGACGGCCAGGACATCCAGGTTCCGGAGCAGTTTTCAGGGTTGCTTCACGGTTCTTCCCCAATCTGTGAGATAAGTGAGGACCCTTTCAGGCTCGTTTCCTCCGTGGAGAAAGGAGGCACGGAAGCTACAAGCCAGGCACGTGCTATGCAGCTGGAGGATGCTGCCTTACCTGCCTGTGGCTCGGTACGGACCAGCTCTCCAGACCAAACCCAGAACGTGGTCTACGCGACCGTGCAGCACACGCACGTCACCCGGGCGGATCCTGGAGCTGTAGTCACGCCCCACGTGCCCCAGCACCCCGGCGGTGCTGAGGAAGAGGGGGACAGAGCTGTGGGCAGAGCCCACCCAGGCAGCAAACCCAAAGCTGAGCTCAAACTCAGCCGCAGCTTGTCGAAATCAGACTCTGATCTTCTGACCTGCTCTCCGACAGAGGACGATGCCATGGGGAGCCGGAGCGAATCGCTCTCCAACTGCAGCACTGGGAAGAAGAGGCTGGAGAAGTCCCCGTCCTTTGCTTCCGAGTGGGATGAGGTAAGGCTGACCTTGCTTAAGGGCTCCTGTGCCAGGATGAGTGTGTACAGCACGAGCTCCTCTCTGCCACACAGGTGGGGGTTCTGGGTGGTTCTCATTACTTGTACTGACTCTCACATTGTATTAACAGGCAGTTAACTGCAGTGGGGGACAAGCAGAACTGAAGAAGTGAGGGGCTTTACAAAGTTGCTCAAATTCAGGGTGTGATTTCTTTTTGGCAAGCCATATGTGGTTTTACATCCCCAGAACGAGGGAGAGTTGATAACTGTGCTCCTCCCAAGTCTGTGTTGACCTCCTCTTTCCAGTTCTTCCCCTGTGCACTCTCCCAACATCCAGACGGGAGATGTTCTGGCTGTGGGTCCCTGCTGCTGGAGGGGTGAGCAGTGTCATGGGTTCAGAGGATGGAAGGAAGAGTGTAGTTAGACTTTGTTTTATGTATTTACCATTTCCCACTTTCCTCTTCACATATTTATTTCAGAGGCTTGTTAGCAGTCACTTTATTATAGCACAGGAAGCCTATGGATAGTTAAATATTTCATGCTCAGAAAGTTGGCCGTAGTGAAGCACTCGGGTGAGATTAAGTGTCCCTCTGAAATTCAGCACCGCAGCATTACTGAAACATTCTTTGGAGATGATTCTCTGCTGGTGGAGCAGGAGCACTGCACAAGAGATAAGCTCACATGAACCACTCTCTGTACACTGAGAGGAAATAACCCCCTGGCGTGGTGCTGGCGGTGTGGAGCTGTGTGTGCTGGGCATGGGCTGGTTGTGCCCCTGCTCACCTGTCCTCTGTGTGCTGAGTGATGCTCAGCTGCCTCTCTGGTAGAGATAAAATCATCTTTTATGGAAGAGGGAGGTATTCAAAAGTGCTAATAGCAAAGTGGGAATCCCTCCTTGGTATGATGCTATCCTTTAGTTCATACTCTCACTCACTACAGTGTTTCAGTGGCCAGATAGCTCTGTTTTCCTCTGTAGCTGTTCTGGTTGTAGAGACTTTGCTGTTAATCACCCAGGTCAGTAGGAGCATGATGTTAGTGAGGGAACCTGTAGCAGAAGCCAGAGTTGAAAGGATGGGGTAATTCTCACTGTGCTTTTCATGCTGAACTGAACTGTTTACAGCGGATATTGAAAGGGAAGAAGCCTTTGGCTTTGCAGTGCTGCCTGACTCCAGTAGTAGCAGAGGTCAAGTGTTAGTGTGCCTGTGCTTCCTCTGCTCAGAGGAACAACCCCAGATCTGCTTCCCTGCTTGTAAACAAAGAGCATCATTTCCACCCAGTGTCAGCCTAACAAGCCACAGGAGGAAAACCTGCTTTTCCTTCCCATTCTGTTGAGGTGAGGAAAGCAGAGAAAGAATGTGAAAAATCCTCATCCGGCTGCAGTGGGGCAGGTCTAACTGAGATTTGCACTGTCAAAACCTGATGGTTTTCTTTGTCTTCCTGCCTTCTGGTACAATTTAAACAATTTGTGGAATTGCTTTAATCTGGGAGCAGCGTCCTTTGGCTAAAGCACTGATTTGCCTGTCATGGACCAGCCAGAATGAGTCTGGACAAAGGTTTCTCCTCCTTGCCTCAGTTTCCCCATCTGTGAGATGACAATAGCCTCTTCTTGCAGAATGGTTTTGTTCCCACTGAAAAGCAGTATGGAAAGTGAAATAGTGTCACAAGAAAGGGGACAAGCCATCAGCTGGTGATTCTCTGACTTTACCTTGATTTGCTCTTTGATTTCTAAAGACTATGGAGGCATTTTGGGTCTCCTGACTCCTGGTTGCACTCTGATGCTGTCAGCAGGAAGGGCATGGTTCACAGATCAATCTTCTATAGAAGCAGCATGAAATGGAGCTGCTGATAAGAGTTTGTATGGTAAATACTTTTGTAAAATAAACCTTTTATGATGGTTAAGAAACAGTAAAGATGCTCCTTTGGGGAGCGTTTGGGGTTTCTTTGCAGTGATTTGTATGTGCTGGTCATAATGGCAGCAGTGAGATTTAAGCATCAGTTAGTGCTGTGCTTGGAGGTTTCATTAATTCCCTGAATGGGATAATGCAGCTGCTCTGAATTAGGATTGCAGCCTCTGAAGTTACCAGGCTGATATAAAACCTTGTTGAGCCAAATCGTTGCTAACAGGGGTGGCTCTTCCTGTGTGTTGAGGGGAAACAATGGCAGATTTATGGGCATTATTCTGTTAATTTTCATAGTCTTTATGCAGGCAACTGGAGAGGAAAGGGATCCATGTGCGGCTCCATGCAAGGCGCAGCTGCAGCAGACGAGCTGTGGGTGGTGCCCACTGGCTTTGCCAGCAGTAGGTGTGTCGGTGGGGCCCTAGGGACGTGGGGAGGGACCTGTTTATGTCTGGGCAGATGGGATCCATGGGATCCAGCCAGCATCTTTCTGGGCCGTGGGTGACCAGGGACAGCAGGAATATCTGCTGCTTGGAAGCAAAGGGTCATGTCCCTTCCCCAGCCGAGCGCTGCCAATGCCCTTTGTTGGAAGTGGAAGGTGGTGCTGGCTTTGCCAAAAGGGTGGGATGGGGAAGAAATGATTCACTTGGCAAAGCTCATCCCTGTTCCCAGTTGCAGCTCCCCTGCTCCACGGACCCGGCCTAAATAACAGATGCTGACAGCACCGCTTTGTGCTCCGTGCTGCAGAGGAGTCTGTTGAGCTTGTCCCATCTGCCTCCTGACCCACTAGCTCCTTCATGGGAGCAGGGATGTGGTGGTGCCCCCTCAGCTGCTATCCCATGGAAGCTCTTTGTAAGCCAGAGAAACTAGGAAAGCAAACAGCAATGTATTGCCCAGGGAGAGGGGTGAGGACTGAAAATGCTCAATTCTTTGAGTGGGAAGCAAGGTGGGGCAGGGGAAGTGTGTGAGGGGGGAGAGCTCCTATGGAGCATAAATACTGCAATCCGTCCAAACTTGGCTGAGGGCTAAAAAGATAGATTGGGTTTTCATCATAAACACTTAGCAGATGGGAGATGAGTGCGGGGCAGTGGCCTCTCACTGTGGGGTTTGCATAGGAGGAGGAACTGTGTGCTCCTGAAGGAGGAATGGGGGTTTGGTGCCGACCCCCTTCCTGGGTGGATTAACTCGCCTCTGCTCTGCCTTCCTCCTTCATAGAGCAGCTCCAGCCCTGCACATCTGCCCAGGTTCATGGAGAAGTCCAGTTATAAGCAGGCGAACCTCATGTCCTCCACAGTGGTACTGGAGTCCCTTGGTGCTTGCTCCGCAGATCTTTCCACCAGGGTGTGATCCAGGAGGAGCTGACCTGATTTCTCTCTTGATAGCCTCTTCCAGGTCTCTCTGAATGCAAGGTGACACACGTGTCTGATACGAATAGTAAACTGTTAAACAAAGACTGAGGGATGTGTAAGAACTTTGCTTTGTTCTGAGCCTGTGCTGTCTCCCCATCCTCAGCCAGGTGTAGGTGTTGAATGGCTCCTCCTCCTCCTGCCCCAGCTTCTGTTGTCTCGGGTTTTTTCCAGGTCCTTTTCTCTATTGGATAGATCTGTCTGTGCCAGAGGAGAGGGACAGACCAAGGTGAAGTAGAACTTTATCACAGTCGCTCACTGAGCTACCACAGCTCTGCCGGGGAAGCAGCTTCCTGATGGTGAGAGTCATCAGTGGAGATGTCATCTCCTGGGAGAAGCAGCAGAGGAGCAGTGCCTGGGCTGGAGGAGGGTGTCAGATAGTCCTCTAAAAACTGTGAAGAAGCCGTGGCAAACATTTCCTGTCCCTTAAATGCTGCCAGGTTGATAAAAACCATGTGCAGGCTTTGGGGAGCAGTGTCCCACACAGCGTTACTGCTGGACACTGGTGAGGCTGCACCTCGAATCCTGTGTTCAGCTCTGGGTCCCTCACTACAGGAGAGACATTGAGGGGCTGGAGCGGGGCCAGAGAAGGCAGCGGAGCTGGGGCAGGGCCTGGAGCACAAGTGTGATGGGGAAGGGCTGAGGGACCTGGGGGGTTCAGTGTGGAGAAGAGAAGGCTCAGGGGGGACCTGATGGCTGCCTCCAACTGCCTGACAGGAGGATGGAGCCAGGAGGGGCTGGGCTCTGCTCCCAGGGAACAAGGGATGGGACAAGAGGAACCGGCCTCAAGCTGCACCAGGGCAGGTTTAGATGGAGCTGAGGAACAATTCCTGCCCCAGAGGGTGCTCAGGCATTGGAACAGGCTGCCCAGGGCAGGGCTGCAGGCACCGTCCCTGCAAGTGTTCACACAGCGTGGAGACGAGGCCTCAGTGCCATGGGTCAGGGGTGGCCTTGGCAGTGCTGGGGTAAGGGTTGGACTGGGTGGGATTAAAGGTCTCTTCCACCCCAGTTGATTCCATTTGATGATTCTTGCAGCACAAAGTGGGGTGATGAAATGAAACCCCCTAAATGCAAATCGCAGATAAATGGGCTCTGTAGAGGAGGAAGAAGAGCAGAGACCTTTGGCCAAATGCAGAGATGCTGGGTAGTATCTTGGCTTCAGGAACTCAGGTTTAGTGGTTTATAATAGAGGTTTCTGATGTGCTGCAGCTCCTGTGATTTAGCTCTGTTGTTCCTTTCTGCTCCTGCCTGTGCAGCCACAACACCCGGCACCAGGGCAGGCTGCTTTGCTTTGGGGTGTGTTGAGGATTGCAGTGAGGTTGTTCTTGATAAAGACCTGAACCAGGAGATGCATTTGTGCAGCTCGATGTCACCAGCCCATATTAGTATCCATGCTCAGAGCAGAGGTCTGGAAGCAAGGCACGGTGCTGTTCGAGTTTCCTGCTCTTCTGGGTCATAGGTGTTGGTAAGAAAAAGTGATCTGTGCAGTGTTTAGGAGGAGGGAGTGGGGCAGGCTACTGAGAATTAGCCTCAGACCCGGCTCCTGCCATCCCTTAATCCTCCACTTCTAACTCTATGCTCTCAAGTAAGTGGGGTCTGGTGGTGAATTTGTAAGGAACGTTAGGGCTCGGAGGTTCCAGCAGCACTGTCACAAAATGAGGTAGTTGCTTTGTGTTCTGTCTTTAGCTCTTTTAGGA